ACTTACTTTCTTTTTTTTTTTCTATCTACCTATCTTTCTGTCTATCTATCTATCTATCTATCTATCTATCTACCTATATATATATATATTTATCCATCTATCTATCTATATTCTCAAAAGTCAACGTTCAAAAATATAAATATCAATTAAAATTGCATAATTTCATCCATTTTATTGCAAATTAAGCAGGGTACTTATACTTGAGTGTCTGTATGTGTGCCCGTATGCTAACTTATGTAAAAAGATAAGTCAGATTATGCAATACCGGCCATAGCTTAGAGTCTTTACTAACGGGCCTGACGTTAGACTTGGGTCTTGAATGTTTGATGAGTCAAGGAGAGGCATGACCGAAATTGCGTTAACCTCTAATTAACTCTGGTTGAGATGATGATAAACAATCTCCTATATGAGATTTATTCACCATATTTCGTTTAAGATGATGAAGTACTGATAGTATAATTTTCCAACAATGATATGAGTAGAGCTGACGTCCCCATTGCATTTCACATGTCCATGTTTTCCCGCATGCTGTTCTCATCTAAGCACCAGTGGACTGTAGTTTCGAACTCGCATAGGTCTTATCAACACTCCCGGCGAGAGTCTCAAATAAATGATTTGCTAGTAGTCTCGAAACATCGCTTATTTACAAAAGGTAAGTTATGTTGTCGAATGTAATAGCAAAGATACGCTCGGTGGAAGATATGAAGACCAGGATGGTGTGGCCTTTTGTATGGTCGCGGTCTCCCTTCGTTGTATAGAAGTAGTTTGACCTCGTTTTCACAACTTGGTCATATTGGCAGGAAGACCTGGAAGAAGGCACCTTGTCCGGAATCCATTGTATGCATAATAATCTCCAAAGTCGGACTATGGACTTGGTACATTCTCAGTCTTTTCGCCGGTGTCGGAGTCGACATCGCCAGTGAGCCTTGCTAGTCTTACCACCACATTACAACTATTCAAAGAGACAAGTGAAGTCGATCCTTTGATCAATTGTTTGCTAAACATTTGTGGTGTCTCTCGTTCTGTCCTGGGCTATTCATCTATTCTATATCCGCGTATCACCCCTTCAATATCACAAATTACTACTTGTTTGTTTAGACCTATTTGAAATCTATTCACACTGGTTTCCTCATCTCTCCCACATTGGCAAGAGTGCATGTGGATCACAGGGCAAGTGTGAATTTCAAGAAAGACGAGGATTTTACATATCACATTATTTGGTGGAAATTTCAATGAAGCAAACTTATATTTGCCATAGCAATCGACGAAATAACCTTTTTTTCGTTGTTGCTGATATCGCATGAGATTAATCGAAACACATTTTTTCTTCATATACGAAAAAGTTCTCAACTTGCCTAACTTTGACCAAATGGCCTCCGTATTAAAATTTATTCCCAATTAAAAAAAGCGTAATAACAAGAAAGCCATTAGAACTTGACGACTGAAGACAAAGTTTACGCTCTATTATATCGACTTTGAGGCATAACTCCAGGCTTTATACATCTTTGTACATCTTCGAACAAATGAACGCAAATACGAACACAGAAGGATATAAATCTCCCTATTCCTCATAAAAATACATATCTATTTATAAAATATATATATATAAACAGCATGTAGATAAGTGTTCTTGACTGGTCAGCTGGAACTTGTTTGTATAAATGAAACCCTGCTCTGCAGATGTCCCTGATACCACAGTCTATACTTTTGTTCGTCTGAAACGACGTTGAACTTCTGGGGGAAAGCGCAAAATCAACTAACAACTGGCAAAAAGGAATCAGTATTCGTCTTGTGGGAAGATTAACTTTCAAAACCCTTGATAGCACAACTTAATTCGATATGGAGATGGAGATGGGGCTGAGTAATCTGGCACGTATTGTTTGGTTGATGAGCTCAATCTAGCATGTTGGACGAATGTGAGTAAAGTGAGAACCATCACTGAGCGGACCAGTTGAATCGCCATCATTTTGACGGCGGCTCT